AAATAATCATGTTTTGTTAGTGGTCTACTTTTTTCAGTCTGATAATTATTGGTCTAAAATCAAAATATTGATGTTAGAGGCAAATGAAGGCAGGACTTTAAAAATTTGAGGTTTATTCTCTATGTCTGAATTTACCAACTGCCATTCTTTTATTTAAATGCCCCTAATACTCAGAGGTTTCTTTCTTTTTTTCCTTTTTAATGTGGTTCCAGGAATGCAGTCCTCTGAAAATAGGGGCTTCTTTCCTAGAACTTCTTGGACTGGTTATGTAGCCACATAGTTTTCTCTGGTCACACGGCCTGTCACAGAAGCTCTAAGAACAAAACCTCTTTCTTTTGTCTATTCAAACTTAAGAAGCATTTTAATTTTTAAATTGAAGATTAGTTGCATAGAAAGGGTGAAAAGTAGAAAGTAGGACAACAGCTTTTAGCTCATCTATAAACTCCCTTCTATGGGGATAATCACACTTTCATTTTAAATACTAATGAATGAATGTGCTTTTGAATAAATCCAAAAATTGCCTTAATCTATTAAAATAAATGCTGAAACCTTTAAGAATAGATTAGTTTCACACACAGATAGCAGTGAGACAACTTTCGGCAAATAAGAATTTATTACTAGACATGTAGCAGGAAAGGAAACTTAAAGGAATCTAAATAATATGTTTTACATTTCAATAGAAGTACTAAATTTTACTCCTTGTAATAGTCCAGATTCCTTGTATTTTTCTTTCTGCTGCTCCATTGATCAAACCATATTATATTCATATCTATCTCTTCTATTGCAAGAAGATATTAAACTTTATCTCTGTGGTTGCCAGGAGTCAAAAAATGACTTGATCGCACATAATCAATCACTAAAATAGGATCAATGCAAGGTGCTTATCATTTAGGGCATCAAGCAAATAGTTGTAGAAATGTGTACTTTCCAATGATTTAGAATCAGTATCAGATTACTTTTTATGTACTTGGAATATTTTCCCCAAATTCAATTGTGGCTTTAATGTCTTTCTTTAAACATATACATGAATGCATCTGGTCTAATTTATTATATTCTTTTCCCATGATTACCATGGAAGAGTCTTCTGATCATTCTACTCTAGTTTGTGAATCTCAGAGGGAAAAAAAGAGCTTCCATCTGTACTTAAATAGTGGAGAAAATTCTTTTGACATTAAAGATTAAATGACCTATGGTGCCATTGGTATTTTTATCCCCATTGTTTTATTGTCCCCATTTGCTTAGTTTCATCAGGATCATAGGCTAACCTGGTGTCTATCAGTAAGCTGAAACTAGAAACTACTCTCCGAAATTTTGATTTGGAATCTGTAATGAGAGTCTCCTGTGAATCTTTAGAAAATTCACTGTTTTTATTTTTTTTCCCTATGTGTACAATTTGAATTAATCCCTTTTCAAATCTACATAATATAAAAAGTGCAAAGAGCACATGGACAGAAAGTTGGATAATTTTATGCAGGACATACAGTACTCTTTGACTTGGAAATGGAAATGGAAGAAACAAGAAAAGAAAGATGATGGAGACATTGTCTTAAATATACATTTGTATTTGAAATACTTTATTTTTGTTGGCTTTTTTGTTTTTTTCAAAAGTAAATAGCTTCATTGGGAACAGGAGGTGTTCATTATGAGAACTGTGGGAAGATGGAATAAAGAAGTATAGCCCCATGGCAAGATAAAGCAAATACATTTAAAATATAAAACAAATAAATACAAAGTGTTCTGGCCAAACCTTCATTAAGAAACTTTAAAAAAATATTGAGAGAGTAATAAGAAACATATTTATTTTAATTTTATGTATATATGTACAAAGAAAAAATGAAAATGATATTCCTTCCTTATCCAGCATCTTATCTTCGTTTCAGTAAACAAAGATGCACTTCTCCATTTTTTTCTCTTTGAAAAGGCGTTTAGTTGGTACTAAAACTTTAAACATTGTGCATATTTGGAGGAGGGGCTATTTTTCTAATAAAAGCAAGTATCATAATCATTTGATATCTTATATGACTGCTGTCAGATGGTGCACCATTCAAAATCCAAGAAAGAAATACTTAGACTCCATTAATTAGAGAAAAGATATCTTTTACTGAAAGTCAAGTGGTAGCCACAAAAGAATTCTGAATCTGAGAAAATGAGTGCATAAATCACATATACAAAGTGATGGCAACGTTCCCACCCCCAATAGTTCAATTGGCTCATCCAATTAAAAGTTGTGTACAGCATCATGTGGGCATCTCCATGTGGTGATGAGGCCGCTGTCCATTGACCTTGACATTTTGTTAAAGAGTTGCGGCTGCACATAGCATAGGATGGAAGCCTAAGCAGGAGTCTCTCCCCCCCAACTTATACAGTTCTGTTTTGTAACACCTCCAGCTCGCTTCCCATAACCATGTCCCCCCTCCTCCCCCAATTATTTATGACAACCAGAAGTTGCAAAGCAAAGGAAGAAAATCTTGAAGGCTTACATTCGGCCCTCCTGCAAAAGAGGCGTTAGTCCTATAAAAGATAAAAATAGAAGATGACAGAAAATATACACATAACACCATCATACTATTTCTTAGGGTTTATCAGGATATTTAGTACGAAATGCCTTGATAAGCTTAGGAGCTCTAATATCCTTCTCATTCACCCATTTAGACTGGAAAGGAGGAAAATGTTTCCAAAAAACCAAATATTGGCGTCGATCCCTTTGTTTTCGAGAATCCAAAATTTCGTTAACTTCAAAATGTTGTTCACCTTCAATTAGCAATGGCACTGGGGGATTGACCTGAGTAGGTCTCAAGTCGGAGGTATGTTCAGGTTTTAATAAACTAACATGGAAGACAGGGTGGATCCGTTGGAGGGTTTTAGGTAATTTCAGTTGGACTGCTACAGGGTTCACAATTTATTCAATTAAGAAAGGTCCAACATACTTAGGTCCAAGCTTTTTTGACTTTTGTGTGGTCTGCAAATATCTGGTAGATAAAAAGACCTTGTCACCAACTGTTTAACTGGAAAAAAAAATCATATAAAGCTTTGTCTTTAGAACAGTGGTTGGTTGGTTACAAAGATGTTTTAGCTGGCGATTTCTGATATTCAAGCACTATCAATAATCATACCCCTTGAAACTATAGTAATATTTTAAATCTGTTAAAATATTTAAGTGTAGTTCACTGTATAGTTTTAGCTTTTGTCTATTGTCTGTAATAGTCTGTGACACATTTGTCAAAAGCGAACAACTTGTTCCTTGTTTTACAAGGTGACTTCGAGGTGTAACACATTCCAATATGAATGGATGAACTTCAGGAGGTTAATGACTAAGTGAGAAGAACATGATATATCATCAGCAGGGGAAGAAATTGAATGCTAGGAGTATTTGAAAGTTATTATTTCTAAAGCAGATAATTTAGTACACACTGTGTGCATTGACTGTGAACATGTGTGTGGTTCCAAAGTGCTTATGCACAACTGCAAGCCTTATTCATATATATTTCAAATAAAATTCCCTCCAGAGAGGAAAAAGGATACAAATCATTTCTTCCAGATTATTTCCTGGCATGACACCAATTTACTAATTTAAACTATGCATGTGCTTTATAGTGGTTTGACAAAATCTATGTTATATAGCTACTTTGTATGACTTATAGTTTGAGAAAACATAAAATGGATATTTTAATGCTCAAAGGAGTTGATGTACCAGTGGGATATTCTGTACAATTATACAAGATGTGTGTTCATAATGCATGGCAATTCAAGTTAAATTGAGAATCCTAGATTTACAAGGGTCCAGATTAAATATGTTTGTGTATATTACTAGTTACAAGTTTATTTGACATTGTTTGAATCTTTACCAAGACAATACTCTTCCCAGCAAATTATTCTACATCCGCTTGCTAATAGAGATGGCGTATATATCTAGAATACATAATTATGAGTTACGAAGTGCAAAGCTTATTTATTACATTTTCATATGCAAAAGCAATTCCATTAATATAATATATAGGAAATGAATTATCAAGTTGTATTTAGAAGAGCTCAGGCAAAGAATTCATTACTTCGCCTTGCTGTTTTCACATTGCTCCTTCTCTTGATTATTTTTGGGACAGCTTTTTATTCATGTAGTAAGTCTATTCTCACTTTGTGATTGTTCTTTCTGCTTTTAGTCACTGTACTGTTCCCTCCACTTACTTTCTTCATCTAAGACAGGGGTGTCAAACTTGCAGCATCACATTGTTGTCATGTGACATAGTGTGACTTTTTCCCCCTTCACTAAACCAGGGATGGGCATGGCCAGCACGTGACACATCTGGCTCAAAGGCCATGAATTTGACACCCCTGATCTAAGATAACTTTTCCACTTATTTGGCTTCATGTGGTTAAATGTGACTGACTTCTCTGTAGTGTGATTTGGTGCTTTTGTGACATTCTGAGAGTGTCAAATTAAAATATTTACTGATTATTCTATAAACTAGCAACTAGAGGTTAGATGGCAATAATGAATGCATGGAATGCAACCACTGTTGCTGCCAGAATCACAAAAAAGCCCCTTCTTCAATCCTATAAAAGCTTGCTTATGAATTTTTCATTCTTTTAAATCTGTTTAGGCATGAAAAAAACACAAGTTTGGAGATAACTGAGGTCTAAATTTGACCTCAGTTACCTCTAAAATTGTGTTCTTCATGCCTAAACAGGCTTAAAACAATTGGTAGATATTGCTCTTGTTTGAATAGGAACTCAAAGCATTGTGAACTGACTTGCCCAGGACTATACAAAACATTAGTATTAGTTGTACTTGTCACATGCAAACATTCCTGTTTGAGAAAAGTAGTAACCAGGCCTTAGACCAGTATTCATTAACTATAGGTGATGAAAGCAAATTTGGTAGTAGAGTCAGCTCTGCAATACTATGTACAGTTCAAACTTAAAATCCTTGATATGAAGTCTAATTATGCTTTTTTCCTTCTTCCCCACTATTGGACATTTCCTTCATCTGACTGCATATTTAGAAGAAATGCATATTCCTACTCCTATTACTTGTAAGTACCTAGTTGGATATAACCATTTCCTTAAGCATGCACAGTAGAGCAGCAGGATTTTGTTTCTTCGTTTATAAAATATTTTTCTTGATTTTTTTTTGTATTACTTCACTATTTTTAAAGAGTTCCATTAATACCCACACTATTAATATTCCCAACCACATAGTTAAAGGGGAGAAAAATAGAGAACTAAAAGACAGTTAGTTGTGTGTGCAGATATAATCCGTACCTTTCTCACTTCATTTTCCCCCATTCGTCTTTGACTGTCACCTCTCTCTGAATAGGCCCCCCAAAAATGAATATAGGCAGGACTCTCGCTCTTGTCCCTCACATTCCTGAAAATCAATACTGTGCATTAGGAGATCTTCATTTGGAAATATTCAATAGTTTTAGTTCCTTTTTCTTTGTATAATTTGCTATTTGGGCACCCTTTTATTGAAACTGGACATTGTGGGAAAGTGTCCAAAGAAGATAGATTTGAACACTTGCATATTCACCGCTCTAATCAAGATAGAAGCAATGAAGAAAGTAAGATCCTTCAAAATATCTGCAGCCATGTGCATCTGAAGGGATCAAATTAGAACTGTGGTTCATGCCAGCACTTTGATTAAATATGGTTCCATTGGTCTTATTGTTTGGGGTAAAAAGAGTATTGGTCATATAATTCCTCAGCATCTTAAAGAAATCCCTGCATGTATTAATCAGGCCAGAATTCAATATTTTAACAGAGATAATTAAATCTAAGAAAGTTGCATAATTTAAAACAAAAGTAATTAAATGTTTTTTCCATAAAATGTTCAGACTTAACATTTCATAGAATTCACATATAGGATATCATGTGCCATGTACGAATCAGTTTGAGAGTCCACCTTTAAAAATGCTTATTGCACTATTACTTTGCTAAATTTTGATTTCCACAGTTTAAAACCATATCCTAGCATTTTAGTTCAATTATTTTGGACTCCGCTAATCCTTAAATTATTCAGGTACAGTATCTTTGATTTCTTTTTGGCTGGTTTTCCTTATCAAATGTTTGTTTTTTGTTTTTTAAAAAGAGCCAAATGTGTTTAAGATGAAAATGAGTCATACATATGTTTGTTTAAGTTCATTTCTTTATTTCCAACTATTTATATCTCTATGAGCTATAATCCTGTTTTAGAATATCTTTTGCACTTAACAGGGAATTGCTATCATATTTTATATATATTATTTTGTCTCCAAAGAGAATTCATAGAAGTCTTATGATTTTTGTCAATTAATAAAAGGCAAGAACAGTTAAGTTCCTTTTTTTCTTACTCCTGAAATTAATTCTTTTGCTTCCTGAAAAATGATTATTCTTCTGGTTCAGCCTTAGTATGTTTATAACATTAGGTTTATATTACTCTAATGAATGGATTAATATTACCCTATTAATAGGATAATATTAACTTTTGTCTCTTATTCATAGTCTAGGGAGAGGAAGGACAGAATATATGAATATAATTTGGTGTAATATAACCATAGAGTCAATCTCCCAGTTCTCTTTAAAGAATTCACAGTGTCCTTCCAGCAAATAGATTCTCTAGCTCAAGGGTGCAAAAAGTGAAGCCCATCATTACCTGTTTTGCCATACCTACTTTAGATTTGTATATAAAAATACACAGTCATTCAAGTACTAGGCCTAGCTGTAGAAAGCATTAGAATTTCAGAAACCAATCCAGGGATAGAAGGTATTATTTCCAATTTAGATTTCCTGAAATGGTTCACTCAACTTGGTAGAAGAGGAAATAGCAAACTGGGGTGATGAGGGGTGATGACGATATTAACTTGAATCTCAATCTGGTTAGGTTTTAAGTCACCTTTTCATTTACAAAAAGTTCATAAGAGCTAGTATTTTTTGAATGAAAATGTTTTTAAAGATAAAACAATTAAACATATTAAAATATATACAAATGGTACATTCATTAATGCTTAGTCTATATTATCCTCTGCTTTCCATGGAGACTAAATGTGATTTAACAGTGTCTAGATCAGGGCTGTCAAAATCCCGGTCCATGGGCCAGATGCATCATGTGCTGGCCACACCCACACCCAGTTTAGCAAAGGAGAAAAAAGTCCCAATACATCATGTGATGCCACCATGACACCGTGAGTTTGAAACCCCTGGTCTAGATATTGTGGTGATTAATACATCATGTGATGCCACCATGACACCGTGAGTTTGAAACCCCTGGTCTAGATATTGTAGTGATTAAAGCAGCAGGCTAGAAAGTGGGAGACCATGAGTTCATGTTCCACTTTATTTTTTTTATTTTTTTTAAATTTTTTATTGTTTTTTAACATACAAAACACAACGACAAAACATAAAAGTATCAGCTCCCCCATATTTTTGTACACACAGTAAGTCGGTTGGTCCATCAGTTTTGTGCATTCACCTCATAGTCACAATTACAATTACCTTATATAATACTCTTATCAATACAAATTTATAAATCATAGTATCACTATTAAAAAAAAGAAAAAAAAATTGACTAAACTTTTATTCGATCATGCCTTTGTGAGATAACTATATTTTAAATATTTTATTCTAAAACAAATCTTATAATCATACCAATTCTATCCCAAATAAGAAAAAGAAAGAAACAGAAAAACTATTATATAAATATAGTATCAAACAACAATAAAAAGAAAAGGAAAATAAATTCAATATTATTCCTTATTATCTAACTTTTATATTTTAATATTTCATCATTCAACCATTGATAGAAAAGATCCCAAACTAAATAAAATTGTTTATCTTCTTGCTCTCTAATTTCAAAAGTCAATCTACTCATCTCAGCACATTCCAAAATTTTCTTTACAACTTCTTCTTGCAATGGAATTTTCTCATTTTTCCAATTTTTTGCAAATACAATCCTAGCAGTAGTCAATACATTTACAATCAAATATTTCAGCTCTTTACTATAAGTATCTGGTAGGATTCCCAATAGAAAAAACTCCGGTTTCAAGTCTATATGCTTCTTCGTCATTTTTTCCAGCCACATGTGGATTTTAGTCCAATATTTTCTAGCATCCTCACAAGTCCACCACATATGGTAGTATGAACCAGGTTTCTGATGACACTTCCAGCATTTTTCGGATTTGTTCTTGAACATTCTTGCTATCCTTGTCGGGGGGAAATGCCACCTGTAAAACATCTTATACAAATTTTCTTTATAGGCTGTAGACATTGTCATTTTATAATTTTGCGACCATAATTTCTGCCATTTCTCTAAATCAATCCCATATCCAAAGTTCCTCCCCCACGCAATCATAGTTTCTTTAACTTGTTCTTCCTCAAGCTTAATTTGCAATAAATAACCATACAGTTTTTTAATCACCTTTTCATCAGTACCCATCAAAATCTTATCCAAATCAGTTTGCTTATCATAAAATCCCTCTGCTTTGGAATCCTTAGTTCATGTTCCACTTTAGGCATAAGGCCAGCTGGGTGATCTTGGACCAGTTAGTTTTTTTCGGCAGTAAGAAGGAGGACGTGGCAAATCACTTCTGAAAAAAAAAAACTTGCCAAGACAACTGCAAGGACTTGTCCAAACGGTCTCTGAGAATTGGACCTGACTGAACTTAAGGGAAAAATATGATTTTACTCTCTTTGCTCTGGTTACAGATGGCCTGTAATGTTTAAGTCTTGTATCCTGCTTTTCTAATAATGTAGAAATAAAATAGAAATTGTAGAAATTAATAGTATTGTGAACTAGTACATCATTCAGACAGTGACTAGTTTTAAAGTGGCTTAAACAGCTTTAGATTTTTCTTTATGCTACAAGTTTTACATTGTTTGCTATTGGGGGAGTGCTATTCACCTACTAAGGGAAAACATTCACTATGCTTATACAGTAAGCTAGGTTTTAGGTTTCTCTTCTAGTTTTATCTCTCTGACAGAATATTGTTGAATATTCTTTTGAAACTTTCACATGTGCAAAATGAATACCCAGGGATTATATGCAAACTTCTGCATGCTTAATATCATATTTCAAAGCATATATTTGGTTTCCACTGCAATCTCATACATAAAGTAATAGAATTGTTAAAAGAAGTGATTCAAATACAATCATTTGGATAAATTGTATCAACTATTTTGTGAAATGTCATCATTTACGTGTTGAATCTGTCAAATATAGAAAATAAATAAAATATTGTTTCTCCTTGCATTTTAAGAATATAATTCCACAAGAATTGCTGTTGTAGCATTTTTATACGTTTTAAAAGTGCAGATAAATTTCTCAAGTCAAATCTTTGCAATGAATGGAAAGAACACTGTACAACTGCAATAATTTTAGAAGCTTTGCATTTGGAAAATATGATTATGCTGACTCCTTATCATTAAATCACAAGGTTTCCTATTGACAGTTACCTAGACAATTTTACCATACAGAGTTGGATTTGCTGCCTTTGTGACTTTGTGAACCTGTTATGGCCCAGAGGAATTCGGCTTCTTTGTAACACTCTCTTGCTTGTCTTACTCATGTAAATTTAGGATGTTCAGCAGGAATTATTTCATATCTTTTTAAGGATTTAAATATGATTTGGGTTTCTTTGTGAGTACTTGTTCTTTTTCATTTATTTAGTTATTTTATGGTTACTCTTCCTGTCCTCCAAGGGATTTTACATTTTACCTCAGTACATTCTCTTTTGATAGATAAAGCCAGATCTAGATGGTTGGTCTAGATTTACTTCAAAGCTTTAAGATACTCTCTGAGGGATTCCAAATCCTGTCACCCTGGTCAAACACTGACATGGCACTCACTATCTGGTTCAAAGATGAAATCAAAGTAGATATTTGAACAGAATTTAAAGATATATCTCAGATGTTATATAATTGTAGTCATTTTATAATCTGAAAATCCAGTACTTATTAGATGTTAAGGAGGTTTCAAAGAGGCTTCTATCACTTTTTGCCTAAAAGTCCTTTTAATATATTACATTCTAGTTTTACTGTTTGTCAACAAAATGCAATCCAT